TAATCCGCCTGGCAGTCGTGCCTCTCGCGCGGCAAATCCCCCATGAGACCGGGACCACAGAATCATAGATATCACAGAATCATAGAGATGTATAGCTTGCTTTTCTAAATCATATCATAAGAACAATACATAATTGTCCAATCTTGACAAAGCATTTTTTAAAAATCACATCCGAGTACAGTAGTAAAGAAAAAATCAAACCAACATAAGACTTACTTTTGACCAGAAAAATGGAAGCTCTTTACTGGTGCCAGAGGAACCTCTAGAGAAGCCATTCCACAGACATGGTGCCATAGATGGCCCACTTCCTTCATCTGACTATTTTTAGAGTTGCCAGGTTGATCCTGGCAACCGGTGGGGGATGGGGGTGGTAGGATTGCCAGATCTAGGTTGGGAAACTCTTAGAGATTTGGGGATGGAGCCTGGGGAGCACCAGGACAATGCCATAAAGTTCACCCTCCAAAGCACCCATTTTCCGATCTCTATAGTCTGGAGATGAGCTGTAATTCTGGGGGATTCCCAGGCCCCACCTGCAGGCTGGCGTCCCTACAAGTGATCTGTCCTGTCTCTATAGTCTCAATGTTTCACCTTTTCTCTTGGGCTACAGGCCCCAAGCTACTTATTCAGCAATTTCACTGAAGTCAGTGGAATCTGAAAATATCTAAAAATGCTGATCTAAGCAGAAGTACACTCTTCTAAATCCAGTGAAGTCAATGGGCTTAGAAGGATGTAATTCTGCTTAGAGTTGTACTGTAAATTCAGAGGACAATCCTGACCGAACTGAAGTCATAAACTATGGTTTCCTGTTGAGAAGGAGGCATGTGCCAGCTAAGGCTGGATGTATTTAAATTTGTGTCAAGTGGATTTTTTTTTGTACAATATAAGACCTGATCATAAAGCCTTCAGAAATTAGAATGCAGGTGAGATGCTACATTATAACAAGTAATGTTCTGTTGTGAGGGAGGAAAGTGGTGTTCATACAGTTCTTTTTCATACTGGAAAACCTGCACTCTCTCACCAACAGAGATAGGCCCAAATGACTGGTGTTACCGTAGCAACTATACATGTCTAAAACTCTCAGGCTACAAAACCATTACATTCTGTGTAGAGGTTAAAAAATTGAGGCACTATTAGATACCACAGAATTAGTCCCACAAGAATGATAATTGTCCAGCACAATTCTTGATCTCTTCTTTCTTCCCATTGCCCTGTTTCACAAAAAAAATGCAATATCTCTGCCTCCATGAGCCCATTCACATGACTTAGGCAGCACTGTGTTTATCAGATAATATTTACCCATGGTGCTCTGAGGGTTATTTCACATGTTATACAAGGACAATCTCAAGTTTGCCACACAAGAGCACCCTCAACAGAAGTTACCATAGCTAAGTTCCATGAACTCCAAACTTACTATGTAGCAGTACTCACACAAGTGAAGCAACCTTACGTGAATGAAGAATGCAGGAAAAAGTATTGTATGAACCAGCCCTTGGTCAACCAACTTTCATGAGGGTTGCTGAATTTGTATCTGGTCATGGATTCACATAACCTAACAATTTACTGAATGGCAACTGACAATTCCATCCTATGAAAGCTTTCATCCCATAACCAAACACAGGGAATTAAAGTTTGGATTACAACTAATTTTTTTTCCATTAATAGAAGGGGATCTGTTCCATTTGCAGAAAATTTAGTAGGGATCCAACCTTAACATTGCAGTTACTCCATTCTAAACCCATTGATTTTAATGGGCAGACTGGAGTAAAATATGAATGTAACATAAAATACCATCTTGTGGAGTAATGAAAACTTCAAACAACCGGCTGTATTATAACCATAATCATCATCATGTTAATCAAATAGACATCTGAATCAAACCTATGAGTTAGAGGTGCATCTAGCAATTTGCAAGTTATAAGGGCATATATTGTACACACATTTCATCATGTGTTATGGTCAGAAAAGTAGTGTTGTGGCAGCTTTGTTTAGCAGCAGCATGATTTGAAGTTGTTCAGCCCACTTAATTGTTTTAGCATAGGATTATAAATGCACTATAATTAACTTACATAGTTAGTTCCATCCATTCGGAGACATCAAATGACTTAACAGATGGTAATTATATTTAACATTGACATCCCCCCAGTCAGATGATTATTATTACTCCCCTAGACTTTACAAACATGATAACAAAAACATGCAGGTGTATAAATAACTTGCCAAAGCACTCACTCTGGAATCAGTGGCAGAGTGAAATACAAGCTCAGCATTCTTTTTGTTAGAGATTCTACTCTTGCGCCTTAAATTCAAGCAACTGAAAAAGTTTGAAATTTCTGAGTCATGGTACAAAGAGAACTCTGTAAGCCAAACCACAGTCCTCCTCATATTACTCTGTCATATTACCAGTAAATGGCATTAAAATGAATTGTGTAAAAAATGCTGAGCAGGTTAACAATTCAGGTGCTTAGTAGATTTCTCATAGAGGCTACTGATGGAATTATGTTCCAATACCAGTGGAATTATGCTTATGTTCCGTGCCCCTCCCCACACATACACACTGATCCGTTTACCCACACTGTGAAGGGCAGAGGATTGTCATAACAGACCCTCTTCTGTCTACCTTCAGTATCTTTCACACAGTGGAACTAGACAATGAGGAACCACTGCACAACAGGTAGCATACTAACTGCAGAATAAAAGTGCAGTGACTGCTGTTAGCTCCTAAACTGTCACCCCTGTGGAACAGTTACTACAAAATGGCCTACCAAGTTAACACATTCCTGGGTTTTCCTGTCATTTTAATGTTTTATCTGAGTTCATGGGGGGTTTTTTTTAATTATTTGTACATAAACCTTGGGTGCATAAAGAAAAGTGAATGTGAAAATGTGAAAGGCAAACAAACAAATAATCCTAATCTTCTGATATATTCTAGTGGTGACACTATCCATGGCTCCCAGTCTGAGCACAAACTCTTAAATTCCCATTAACTTAACGTACAGTCATGCCTAGCTTCAGAAACAACAACCAAGTGGTAATTAACCCTGTCTGGGGGTATTTAAATATTGTGACAGCGCCATGGGATGACACAGCCAGTGTGGTGTAATGGTTAAGAGCATCAGACTAATATCTGGGTTCGATTCCCCACTCATGCCATAAAAGCTCACTGGGTGACCTTGGGCCAGTCACACTCTCCCAACCTAACCTACCTCACAGGGTTGTTGTGCGGATAAAATGGAGGACAGAAGAACAATGTAAACTGCTTAGGGTCCCCATTGGGAAGAAACATGGGATACAAATGAATTAAATAAACTCATGAGCTAATGGCTCCCATACCATTGCTAAACACTGCCTAAAATTGTGCCATACCTAGTGCTGACAACACAGTGGGAACTTAACATGCCATCTCTTCATTTCTGGCATCACTTCAGGACTAATGGGTGATGTCAGCCCAAGTGTAAGAATGTAGTAAAAAATGCAGTGCACTCCAATTAGCACTCTGGAGGGAAAGAATCACGTCATCTGCATTGGCTGATCTTGAAGATTATGAACTTCTCAACATAACTGGTGAATTGGAACCAACCACCTGTTGGGAATGAAGAACTATACCCCATACTGAGGTCCAACTTTAACAGTGATCATGAATTTTGGGGGTGCAATTAAATACTCTGATTTTGAAAAAGAGAGAGGAAAACAAAAATAAGATGTTTGAAATTTATTCTTCCAATTTTCACATAGCAGAAATTTTACCATCGCCACAGTTGTCATGGTTCCTACATACAGGTACATGGAGACCAAGCATTCTGAAAGATAGGCAAGCAAATAAAGCTTTCTGGATATTTTTGTACACCTCTTACTTCAGCTTTCATGCTATTAAACAATGGAGTAAACTACTGTACTCAGGACACGCACACTGTCGAGCACTGGCAAAGTAACAGTGAAAAAGGAGTGAAAAGAGGAGACAAACAATGTGAGACTCTCACAAAACTTACCAAGCAGTCGTCCCTCGCTCTTCCTGAGAACACTAAACTATTCATGCCACACAAGCCTATGGGCATAGGTTTCCACCCTGCTCCAAGACATAAAAGCAACCCTAATTGTGCCAGTTTCCAAGATAATCTTGGCCACCTTCCCAGGAAGTATACCAAACCTTAAAAACATGACTTAAGCACTGATTTTGCTACTCCACAGATTGCCAGAAGCAGGCATCTGGATGTGCAAGCCGTCTATGTAGCCACAGCAGTGACATGTACATCATCACCCTTGCCTGTATGCCTCACCCAAACAACCTTCCTCCAACACACTCTCCGTCTAAGCACGGAATTAACCCCACCAGCTACCACGCAGGGACTGTTGCTTAACTCTTAATAAGGTGGAGCGGAATATCTGAAAGGTCTCTTTAAGCTTGGTTATTTGCCCAGCCTGTATTACTCCGATCCCAACAGCAGCCTACTGCAGTGCCTTTTTATCCCAGCTAGGTAATGTCCAAGAGACATTTGACTCTGAGGCCACTGGAGTGGATGGTCCCTGTCTCTCTCCACCACCCCATTGGCTGGAGACAACAATTGCCACAAGCAACAAAGGAATCTCATAACAAAATAAAAGACTCCCTCAGGGGATGCTTATCCTCTCCAGACAAGTTTCCAGTTTAAGCAAGACTAAAATGCTGGAAGGAGCAGGAAGAACTGGGCTGGGAGGAGAAAGAAAAATGTCACCTTTGGTTATCTGCTTGTTTTTTTTACAGTCAGGCAAGTTTCTTCCCACCCAAGACTGTAGCAACCCTGACCATCTTCCAAGACAAGAGAGAGAGTCACCAAGGGGAGGAGGGACAGAGCTACAATAACAAAGCCTCTAGTTCAAATCTCAGCTACATACTCCCCTTCCTCCCAGTCCTTAAGTAGAAGGACTAACAATCTCAGTTACCACAGCAGGCAAGAAGGATAACAATAATTCTATATAATCATTATATGTATATATTCCCCCAAAAGTGAAAAAACAGCACCAACCTTGTGGGTCCCAGTTCACCTGTTTCCTTGGCGTCTCGATTGGAAATTTCATCGCTTCCTTTGCAGGGGGGGGGGGGGAGAATAAAATGAATTCCCAACCTTTGCTGCCGGACTGTTGCAGCCAAACAAACAAATTAATTTCAGGCCAGGGGGGGAAGCCCGCTGCGCCCTTGAAGGGGTGGTGGGGAAACGGGCGGTTGCCAGGCAAAAGGCAGCTACACGTGAAAAGAAGGAAGGGGGGCTTTCGTGGTGGAGAAGAGCAAGCGGGCAAGGGACCAGCACCTCCCAGTCGAAAATGCCCAAGAGAGCTCGGATAACCATCAAAAGGGGCTGGAGAGCGAAGCAAGAAGTCTGATCCAAGGAGCTGCCCGGTTTTTATACGCGCTCCCTCACAGCAGCTGGCTGGTCTGGTCCATTTGCGGCTGCTCCCTGGGTGGTGTGAGTTGCCCACTGCAGCATTACACATTCAATTGGCGCACACGTGAATGTGCATCGTCCAGCCAGATGCAGATCCGGGCTGCCAGGGACGCCGCTCGCCAGTCACCCAGCCAGCCAAGCCTCGCCAGCCAAGCTCCCGCGCTGTGCTTCATGCATCTGGAGGAGAATGCATGCAACACCCGCTGCTCCCTCCCTCCCTCCCACCCACCCACCTAGCCACCGGCTCAAGATCTGCGCATGGCTTGCAAGAAGAAGCTGGGAAGGGGAAAGTCATCTGCGGCTGGCTGGCGGCAGCTGCAGCAGCATGGCTTGGAGGAGGAGGAGGAG